CATACCTGAATAAAAATCTGCTGGAGGCACACAGTTCCTTCTGGAAAAAATAATGTCTTTAAAATGTAGTGTTTTTTTTAAAAAAGGGGGGGGGGTAGGGAAAATAACCCAACTGTAGTTGCAAGAGACACATTATTTGTTTGTCACTGCTTACCGTTCCAACCATTTTCAACAACACGTAAACAATCAAATGCTTTCCGAGCAGTTTTAAACAATGAAACATACAGCTGCAAATACACAGATGCTTCGAAAATCATTGTTAGCCCTTTTGTATAGCTTTTAATTCTATCTTTGGAGAAAGGCATAAAAAGATTCTGTAAATCATAACTGCTTAGAGCATTTACTTCCCAAAGCACACCCCAAGCATTAAGTCTTGCACATTTCTCTTGAACATAAAAGAATCCCAAATTAACAATGTGTTAATTTGGACATGATTTGAGAGTGCAATCAGTATGCTATTTAAACTTAGCCTTTCTCTCACACACACATAAAATCAAGCATGAACCGGGCTGGTTTTAACTATAAGTGCGGGATGGATGTCCTTGTGATGTCTCACTCCCTGCAACCAGGATCACAATATTAGTACTGAGCAAACTGTGCCCTTCAACCGTTAAGCAAAAAATTCAAGACTAGTTCGGATCAGCTTGTATCACGTTGGCTGGCGTTACTGAAGAAATTAGCATTTAGAGAGGCTTAAAAAACATCCTTTAATCAAGCTTGACTCCTGTGAGTATATCTATGAAGTTTTCTTGGCAAAATTACAGAAATGTCTTTCCACTTTTTTCCAGGATGTTCTTATTTATACTTTCCACTGTTCCAACAGCCCTGGAATTCTCAAGTCGTTCTCCATCCAAAACTAACCAGGTGTAAGCCTGCTTAACTTCCCAAATCAGCCATATTCATCTATGCATAAATTTGTAAACATGAAGGATACCAATCTCAAGAATACTCTGGAGATAATAAGTCACCATAAACTGCATATACTGTAAATATAATTCTTTTTTTTTAAAAAAAAACCCTGGACATTGTAATTCTTCTTTTACACAAAGCTTGTTGTCAGCTACAGGTGTACCGACATTTTTTTGACAGGAAGGCAATAACATATAATATAACATTTTCATTCCAAGTTTCAACTATAAAAATAATGAAATTAGGTGCTTTTTCCTACAAAACTTTCCATTAATGCTCATAAGAAATTGTATACACAATTTTATATATGACAGCAGTCATGCCTTGATAGACCTCTTTCAGATTCTTGGACTACTGTTTGAGGAAAAATATAATCAAAGCAAATTACAGGCAACTATTTAAGTTACATTCGTACAACTGCTATGGGTATATTACACATATATAATCACTAGTTCTCAACAGCTTGTAAAACTGGAGGGAGAGGGAGAGGGAGAGGGAGAGGGAGGGAGGGAGGGAGGGAGGGAGAGAGAGAGAGAGAGAGAGAGAGAGAGAGAGAGAGAGAGAGAGAGAGAGAAGCAGGCACCTGGTTTGGGGAAAATCATATTTTAAGATGCATTGCACAACTTCCACCCCCCTCAAATCTGGGATCTGCTCTTAGGGTTGGAAACACGATTCTGCATAGCCCTCAGCCTGAAACAGGGATCTGGCTTTGGAACACACAGCTTCCTTCCATCAAGCCAGATCCCAGCTTTGAATATCCAACATTATCATTTCCACCATCCTTCTCATGCTAAATCCTGGATTATGGGGAGACATTATAGGTATGATTTTAAAATGGGTGTCGGAAAGCAAAAGTTAAAGGAGGAAGCATATAAAAACACTACCTCCAATCCCACTGCAAATGTCTTCATGTATGAATACTTTGTTGAAACCAATACAGGTTGACTTACAATCATTTGTTCAGCAACTGTTTAAAATTACGATGGAGCTGAAAAAAAAAATGGACTTATGACTAGTGCCCAAAGTTACAGCCTTTGAAAAGCTCCACAGTAAATGTGATAAAAAAAAAAATCAGGTACTTGGCAGCCTGCCTGCACTTACAATCACTGGGGCAATGCAACTCCACCCTCACATCTCCCCCCCCTCCTCCATAGCAGCATTTGTGGGTGCCAGCACCCCGGGCCAGTACTTCAGCCCCAGTACTTCAGCACCATCACTACCACCGAGAGATGTTGCCTCAAGCCCCACACTCTAGTCACCCCAATGCCCTTGCACAAAGCCTGTCTTCCAAAGGGTCTGCCACACCCAACGGACTTCTACGTGTGTTTGTGTCCAGTAAGTGAATGGAGATGACGGGACCCTCTTTCTCCTCCCGTCCCCTTTTCCTAAGGAACTGACCTTGTTCCTCCCCTTTTTTGGATGCATTCTTAGAGGGGGGAAAAAGAGACTCAATAAAAGTTATTCACACCCCCATTTTCACGATTCCTCAGAAAGCCTCTGGAATAGCCATTCTGGAAACCGAGTGCCCGTTCTCATGAGATATGGGGTACATCAGGTGGTAGCTGCCTGAAACAGCTGAAGGCCCCAGGATTTGACTTGTTCCAGGGGCACCTCTAATTTTCAACTGTACTGCAGCAAGCTCCCCAACTTGCACCGCAGCCCAGAGGGTCTCCAGCATCCCCTTTTGCACCCCCACACTCCTTACCTGGGATTCCCTGCACTTAATGACCCATGATTCTGAATTAACAATGGCAAGCAGGAGTGCTGGGATTGTGGTCATTAAGAGAGGCAGCCATGTGAGCTCTCACTGTACGACCACATCGGTCAATCTCAACTGTGGTTGTAAATGGAGGACTATCTGCGCAGAAGTAGTCCTCGACTTACTGCCATACATTTAGTGACTATTAAGAGGTTACAATGGCACTGAAAAAAGTGACTCATAACTGGTTTTCACACTTATGACCGTAGCAACATCCCCATGGTCACGTGGTCAACGTTTGGGGGATTGGCAACTGGCCTGTATTTATGACTGTCCTGGCATCATGCGATCACCATTTGCAACCTTCCCAGCCAACCAGCAAAGTCAATAGGAGAAGCCGAATTCGCTTCACAATCGCACGATTTGCTTAACAACTGCAGAGATTCACTTAACAACTGTGACAAGGTCGCAAAATGGGGCACAACTCACTTAACAGTTGACTTGCTTAGCAGTGGAAACCTTGGGCTCCATTCGTGGTTCTAAGTCAAAATCTCCCTCTGATCCCCAAACTTGCAAATCAATTTCGGAATCTTTTTCGCTTGGAGTTTTTGGCTCTCGCTTAACCAAAAGGAAAGCAATCAGAACATGCTCTTTCATAGGTTTTGTAGGCATCGCTGGATAGGAATATTTACTTACAAAGGGAAGGATTAATATTTAGGAAATGAGAAATCAGGAAGATTAGTAAATAAAATGACAATATGCCACTCTGGCAAAAGATAAAAATTTCACCTTTAAAATCATAAAGGTTTGAAAGGCTTCCATTCAGTAAGAACAACAGCAATACCAAGAACTGAAAACAAGACAGAGAACTTCAGAGACATTCCTGTTCTAACATTCAAAGCCACATTGATCTGGGTGACGCAAGGGCCCATCTCCACTCCAGTTAGGAGTGAGCTGTGATCTTGTCCCACTCTACTGAGTGTTTTAACCATGCTGAACTAAGTGTACGATCACAATCGGGCCCACAATGTACGTGCTGTTAAGTGAGACATTTGTTGAGTGAATTTTACCCCATTTTATGACCTTTCTTGCTACAGTTAATTGAATCAAAGCAGTTGTGAAGTTAGTAACACGGCTGTTAAGTGAATCTGGTTTACCCATTGACTTTGCTTGTCAGAAGGTCGCAAAAGCAGATCATTATGATCCCGGGACATTGGAACCACCATAAATACGAGTCAGTTGCCAACTGTCTGAATTTTGATCATGTAATAATAATAATAATAATAACAATAATAATAATAGTAGTAGTAGTAGTAGTAGTAGTAGTAGTAGTAGTAGTGGTAGTAGTAGTAGGAACTGCTTCCATCCTTCAATGATATCTGTAATACCATCAAACATCCACATCTGCCTATCCCAGGTCCTTGGTAAAGACTCGATAAGTAGACAAAAATGCCAAATCCAGTCCGAACATCTGGCTGACTGCGCAATGATCCTCAATGATGATGATGATGATGATGATGATGGAAGGGACTTTGGAGGTCATCTAGTCCAACCCCCTGCTCAGGCAGGAAACCCTATACCAGGGGTAGGCAACCTTGGCTCTTTTATGACTCGTGGACTTCAATTCCCAGTATTCCTGAGCCAGCCATGCTGAGGGGAAGGGAGAGGTTTCCAAGCTGAGTCCACAAGTCATAAAAGAGCCAATGCTACCTACCCCTACCCTATACCATTTCAGACAAATGGCTGTCCAGTCTCTTCTTAAAATCTTCCAGTGTTGGAACATTCACAGCTTCTGGAGGCAGGTTGTTCCACTGATTAATTGTTCTGTCAGGAAGTTTCTCCTTACTTCTAGGTTCCTTCTCTCTTTGGTTAGTTTCCATCCGTTGCTCCTTGTCCTGCCTTTGGGCGCTTTGGAGAGTAGCTTGACTCCCTCTTCTTTGTGGCAGCCTTTGAGATATTGGAACACAGCTATCATGTCCCCCCTCGTTCTTCTCTTCCTTCTCTTCATGTGACCATGAGGAGGCTGCAATGGTCATAAGTGTGAGAAATGGTCATAAGCCACTTCTTTCAGTGATGCTGTACCTTGCAACAATCACTAAAATAACTGTTGTAAGTCGAGTTGAGTGGTGCACTAGGAGCAGGAAGACCCAGGTTTAGTTCTGCTTAGACATGAAAGCTTGCTGGTTGATTTTGAGCCTAATCCTAACCCTCCCGGTCCTAAGCATGGCCCGGCTCTGCAACAACCTGGAGTGATAAACAGCAGCTCTTACTGCATTGATAGCTTCATTGGAACTAGGCAAAGCACAATGCAAAAACAAGAGGACCCTGTGATTATGTAGGATTAACGCTAAGAACCACAACACATTTATTCATACGGAAGTGGTCAGTGTAGTTTTTTAATTGTAGTTAAACTTAATTACATTCCAGCATACTCCAAAGTTCGCCCTGCTTCAGATCCCAGTATAAGGATTCCAAATTTAGAAAGGCACTATATCTGACACTGGAAAGGGAAGCAGGTGATTGTACAACATTCATACAACAAAGCTAACCTGGCCATTCTCTCTCCCAGCCACCGACACTTCAAGTGTCACTTCAGGATAGTTTTGTCACGCCCATAGCCAAGGCATGAAATGAGTTTGCCAAGAAAAAAAGGGGGGGAAAATCAAAAACTAATTTCTGGAGTTCATTGGGAGTCTAGCAGCAAGAATGTTCATTCCACTGTAAAACCTCAGTCCCTAATTAGAAATTAAGCATGGTAAAATTCTGCCTGGCCAGTGATTTCAGTCTCTGCGCCGCTGGTGATCCACCGCTGTAAAGAAAGCGCACACAGCTGCTGTGATGAAAGTGTGTACTCCCTCATAGAGAAGTTTCGGTGAAAAGACGCTCCAGATAAAGAGATGGTATCGCAGTCCCGTGATCAGAATAATATATACCGCAACTGGGATGGAACGCAACAGGGCGTAACAGAAACAGCCATGCCCAATCGCTGCAGGATTCCTGTAGTGTTTAAGAAAAAAAAAAGAGCACAAAACACAATTTGTTTTACATTTTAGTCCTGGGGTAAATTTTATACTCCATTTAAAAAGTATTGGTTGAAAAGAAAAGATGAAACCGCATCTTAGATTACTGCAATGCGTTATACGTAGGGCTGCCCTTGAAGAGTAGTCGGAAACGAATGAAGGCAAATAATATGTGTCCCAGGATAATGTTGGGACCTGTGACGAAGCCCATCCTCAGGCAACTTCTCTCTCACCAGAAAGAGAGAGCGAGAAGTTCCTTGAGGATGGGGCTCCAGCAAAAGTCTGAAAGCTGGGAAGTCTAAACCTCTGGTCCCAGTGACTGACCCAGATTGGATCCTGCAGCCTTCGGAAACTTCAAGTGGTGAAGAATGCAACTGGGCCAGTAATAAATGACACCAGATACACAGCACATGTAACACCACTATTACGTGAGCTGCACTGGCTACCGGTATGTTTCTGGGTGCAATTCAAGGTGCCGGTTGTTGGCTTTAAAGTCCTACATAGCTTAGGATCGGATTACTTGAGGAATCATCTTTTTCCAAGAGTCTCTATCAGTGCATTCCATTCAAAAGATTGGGGATGCTGAAATCCCATTAGTTAAAGATGTCAAGCCTTTTCTGCTATGTGGAATATTCTTCCCTCTGAGATTAGCTGATTCCCTTCCCTTCAAGAGCTGGGCGTTGAATAAGGATGGACCTGCAATGAATTTTCTCTCTCCATAAAACTATGCTGCATGCACCTCAAGACTATCTTAGATGGTACAGATAATCCCTATTTAGTGGCCACAGTTGGGACCAGAGACACAGTCAAGTAGTTGCTAAGTGAAATCACAACTGTGCTTCTGATGTGACTTCAGCTTTCCTTTGCTTTACAGCAGGGGTGTCAAACTGCCGGCCTGCGGGCTGGACACGTCATACAGAAGCCGTGCCCACCCCGTTGCTGGCGATGGCAAAACCGTCCTGATACGTTGCGCGATGTCACGTGATGTCACGTGTTTGACATGTCTGCTTTATAGAGACCTGCAAAAGTCACAGATGTAAGGAGTGATCATAAAGTTACTTTTTCATCATTGTCGTAACTGCAAACATTTGCTAAGTAAAGCAGTCACTCAACAAGGGCTACCTTGTAGTGTGTTCCTAGAGAGGTCAAAGGAAGTTTTTTTAGGAAAAAAACCCAAAGCATGGAATGACAACAGCAACAGCAAATTTGAAGGCATTATATACTGTACAGTATAACCATTGACAGCCTTAATGTCCATGGATATGGCTATTCACAGGGCAGTACTGTAAAAGAAACCACTACACACTGTGGTCCATCAATACTGTCATGTGTATCAACCAATCAAAATGAAGATATGTTACATTTATTCCTTGATTCCTGATGAATACATTCATAAAGTATTCCTGGCAGTATTACAAAAGCAGTTTGCCACAACCTTCTTCCAAAATGTCCCTCCACCCCAACTTCTCCATTTTGCAAACAATCTTTGAATTCCAACTCCATCTCCTATCTGAACAGTAACTTGGGCCAACTACTGTATGCTTAGTCGTTATGACAGCTAAAGTCAGCTTTGTGCTACTAGTAGTATTTTAGGAGTAGATGGGGGATTTGAGACCAGATCTTCCCTGAGCCCAGGAAAGACAGGCACTGTATTACACGGCCTCTGAAAACAATTGGTAGCACTGAAGAGGCCTAGTCCATATATAAAACTCCTGTAAGGTTTGGTTTATTCCTTTTTTAAAGTATCTTATTTCTTTTACGGTGCTCGCACCATTTTAGAGAGCGAAGGCAGAGAAATCCTAGTAATAAATAATATTTGGTTGATCTTCCAGCTTCCTTATGGCAAGACTAGGTAAGGATTTATTTCTTAATAGCTTGACGCCTAGATACAACAGCTAGCCATTCATCTGTGACAAATGACCCTCCACACAGCAGAGTGAAGCAAACGCCTCCTAATGCTTTTCACACGAACAGACTTTCCCTGATCAAATTAAGGAGGCAAAAACATTGCCATGATCTCTGAGAAGACTGGCCGAAGGCTGTCTCGGGCTTAGGATAATCTGGGGAAAGTAATTATATCAAAAAGCAATCATATAGATCCGCAGTCTCCAACTTTTCCGGTTTGGTGGGCCAGTGGAGGGAAGGGAGAGAGGATGATTCCCTGCGAGCGGCAGGCTTGCATGCATGCGCAGTTCCATTTGTGCAAGTGGAGCTGCAAGCGCACACCTGCACACTCGCCACTTGCGTGGCCCGGTTCCGATATCAGGGTTGGGGACCCATGATGTAGGCTTTAAAATTAATTTTGAAAACTGTAAATGAAGAAAAGGTCAATGTTTGGAATGCGACACTTTATGGCAGACATGTCAAACACAAGGCCCGGGGGCCGGATGCGGCCCGCGAAGTGGTTTCATGTGGCTCGCAAAGCCATCCTGGAAACAGTGAGGGAACGGCCCACAGTGCCTTGGCCCTGGCCCAGGCTGGCCGGGAGCCAATGTACAATTTTGTGGTGGCCATCTATGCTGAAACGCATTCAGTCTTAGCTCCACAAGGCCGTTTAGAAACAGCGAGGAACCAGCCCCTGCCGCGTCAGCCCTGCCCCCTGGGTGCATGCTGGGGAGGTGTCACCCTTTGTGAGGAATGAAGAAATGGACGAATTGACAAAAAAAACTGTTTTTTCTGTGGAAGATGGGAATTTTTTGAAACAAGGGATGATGCTAAAGGTCATATTAGAAGGATATATAATGTTTTATTAGAATTGGATTCAGAAACTGAGCTAGTTAAAGATTGTATGATTAAATGGGCTCAAAATATAGGAGAAACTATATCTATGGATACCTGGGAGTTGATATGGGTGAGAAATGTGAAATTTACGCAAGCTCAAAATCTACGTGAGAATTTTTAT